TTTTTCCTCTTTCTAAAGAAAGGAAAGATATATCTCAGTAATCATCATTATGAGACAGAACACATTTCGAGGCTATCTCTATAGGATATAATTATACCTTATTTTTTTTGTGCTATTTAGGATAAGTAGTGCTTAGCCCTAATTTCAATTTCAATGAGAAATAGGAGTTGTTGCGAGGCAAAGGGTTACCTTCCACGTCTGCCCATCTTCATGGGAAGTGTGGGACACTCGGGGGCTCTGCTTATTATTTTCTTATTCTTTGCATTGAGCATGGAACTTAACAGTTGCTAGGGACCCATTTTGCATTGAACTTCAAGTAGGCTTCTTTTGTACATCAACTTGCAATTCCTCTAACAGTCTGTGAGTGAAAATTGAAGAAATTAGAGTGTCAAGTAGGAGCCAACATTTCCTCTTTTCATAGGTCTTAGATTCTCATTGTGTTAATAAGGACCCCTTTACTCATGGTCCCTTCATCTTTCCAGGTGTTTCTACCAAAAACACTTTAAATGCTTATTCCCTTTGTGGGACCTATTTCTCAGCTGACCAGAATTAATACAATTGATACCAAGTGTGTTTTGCTGAGTCAGATACTGAGCTGGAGCTTGGAGCCTGGCTTATTCATACCCAACAAGGTACAGATAATCCCTGACTCAAGACCTCGGTCTGGTTGCTGCTTACCACTCCAGAGGGGACATGTTAGAAACACTGGTGGGAAACACACTTGCAGGTGGGTGTGCAGAATCAGGTATTTTAACGATACTGGATGGGGAGCAGAAGTCCTGCTGAGCTGGCTGATGATAATGGGAAATCAAGTGCAGGTCATTAACAAATAAATGCCAAGCTTGAGAGGCAGAGTACCTGTTCGGTAGTTGTTTATAAAGAGGCTCTTATCTCTTGTGGTGGAATAGACTATCCAACCTGATAAACAGAGTTCCAAACACCCTTGTCAGGAAACTGAGACCTTGAAACATGAGATGCAGATGTTTGATTATGTTCCTCTTGAAGATTTAGGTCTTTAATCACCATGACTATTAAAGGTTTGCAGATGTGGTCCAGTCCTCCGCTGTAAGAGTTGCCAGTCTGTAAGTACAATATATCATCTTTACAAGTTTCAGTAACCTGGCACTTTTGTGAAGGTTTTAGATAGTCACACAGTGTCTAATGTGAATAGGGATACAGTAGAGTACATCCCATAGTCAAAATGTGTTTTGCATCCCTGCCAAAGGACAGCAAGTGTGGCCACTGTTGGCCTGTATTTTTGTTTGTTTTGTTTTTTGCTGCTATTGTTTCTTTCTTTCTTTCTTTCTTTCTTTCTTTCTTTCTTTCTTTCTTTCCTTCCTTCCTTCCTTCCTTCCTTCCTTCCTTCCTTCCTTCCTTCCTTCCTTCCTTCCTTCCTTTTTTTTGAGACAGGGTTTTGTGTATTCCTGGCTGTCCTAGAACTTGCTCTATATACCAGGCTAGCCTTGAACTCAGAGATCCTTCTGCTTCTGCCTCTTGAGGGCTGAGATTAAAAGCATGGACCACCACTGTCTGGCTCTCTCCTTTGGTCTTACAGGCAATGTCCTCTGCATCTTAGACTTCAGCTTCAATACACTGTAGTACAATGAATAAAAACCCAGAGACAAAAATTGGGGTTCAACATGAAGGTCAGAAAAGCAAAACAGCAAGCCACTGGCTCTTACCTCTACATCAGTCTGAAATGGTGATCCTGCCTCCAGGAATCTCAGAATGAGATTGTGACTGAGAACTGTCTCCTCCTGTTTTATAATCCTTTGTAGTGCTGAGATTAAAGGCATGCACCATCTCCCGGTTTCTAAAATAAACTAGTGGCTACTGGGATTAAAGGTGTGTGTCCTTACTGCTTGGTCTGTAAGATTGATCAGTGCAGCTGTTTTACTCTCTGAACTTCAGGCAAGCTTTATTTATTAAAATACAAATGAAATATCACTACAGTACAGTGACCTTGTCCCAAGTAAAGGTGGAACATTTGCAGTCTAGAAAAAACTCTGAAACAGTATGGGACACTGTGTGGCCAAAGTTCTTGTGTGATCCAGGGGTGTTGGTGATGTTCCTGCAGCTTGTAGTTTAAGGAAACTTCCAATAGGTAACACTCAAGGAAGACCTCTGGGATTCTGGAGAGTTAACGTCTTCTCTGCCAAGCAGATCCTGAGCAGGAATGAATCCTATTAGAGATAGAACTCTTGGCTGTGAAGTATCAATCAAGGCATCATTATGAGTTAATTTCTGCTTTACTGGTCAAGTGGAATTACCCTTAAACATAGATAGGACTAGCTGAAATCTATCTTTAAATAGAAATGAAACCCAGATATGACAACAGCCGAGTACACCTGAAAGTTGGACGATCTGCTATCCCAGATCCCATTATCAGTCCCATTTATCCCAATTACCAGTTGCACTCGTGATGTTCCCAAAGTATTCACTGGCATATGCCTGAGGATGTCCTGTTCAATCACAGAAAGAGAAAGAAACCTAAGTGTTGGGGAAAATTATTTTAAGGTGTGTTACTTTTATTTTTGTTGCGTTTGTTTAACTCTGTGAATCTGTGTTACTGTGCTTGTCTAAAACATCTGGTGGTCTAATAAAGAGCTAAATGGCCAATAGCGAGGCAGGAGAGAGGAATGGGGTGGGGTCTGATATACACTGAGGACACATATGAGGAAAAATCTGAAGAAAAATCTCGTTCCCCAAAGAGAAAGAAAGAAAGTACTTCAGGGGCCAGCCACCCGGTCACTCAGTCACATAGCAAGGCACGGAGTAAGAAGGAAACAAGAGGTATATAGGAGCAGAGAAAGATAAAAACCCTGAGGCCAAAGGTAGATGGGATAATTTAAGAAAAGTTGACAAGAAAAAAGCCAACCTATAGCTAGGCACTCATAACTAAGAATAAACCTCTGCGTGTAATTTATATATATTTTGAAGTTGGGAGGTGACCTCCACCCTCAAAAGTACAAAAAGAAAAAGAGTAAAAGAGCAAAAACATCCACAATACCTAAGTATGGCTGATGGCTAGGTTGTCTCTGTGTGCTAAATCGAAAGTCATAGTAAGACTATTCATGTCAGTTACAGCTCATTGATAATATTTTGACTATAAAACTCAACCTTTCAAAAATTAAATGTTGTTTTCTTGAAGATTTTTAGTAATGAAAGAATTTTAAAAATTTAGTAACCTTAAAAATTATGTAGGTTATAGTTATACCCGCATGCTTTCCCTCTCTGACCACTTAATTTAGGATAATAAAGTTCTTAGAGCTTTACTTAAACATTTCCATCTGCCCAGCAACTGGAGTCCATCTGGAATAATGTATTTTTATCAAGTTGTATGCGTAATAACTCAGACCAGGTTCCTTCTTCTAAAGGGAAAATTATTGTATTTCCTAGGCTTCACACATGAGCAAACTGATCCATAGCTGTGCAGTGAACAATAGTGGTATTTGACTGCACTCTTAAGTGAAAGTCTTAGAAATTATATAGCTGAATATTTTGCATGATTATTGCTGGGTTTATTTTTTTTTGGATTTCTACTTAGAAAGGTCTTCTTTCTTTACTTTTTACCTATTCTAAACAGTAAAAGGACAGTTGTGTTGAACAGGGTGGGTGAACACTCTCTAAAGGGCCATGGGTGTGCTGCCAAGAACACCTCTCAAGGTGGATTCACGAGCTGAAATCATCACAGCCTCCTTCAAAGGACCGTGTCTCTGGTTAGAGAGGAGCACCTCACACCAGGGGGTCCAGGATGACTGGGTCATGCTGAATGCAGTTTCACTAATTTCTATCCAGATTAAAATGTGTATCCAAACCAGGAATCTCAGTGGCTGTGCTGTGCTTGGCTACTTCCTCCTGTCTGAACGCTGAGGCCTTTGGAAGGCATGTAACTGGCTTGTGTCTTAGTTTCTCTATTTGAGAATCTAAGCAGATTCAGTAGGTTATGTATATTTTCTTCTAATTCTGATTTTAATTTCTAGAGAGTTTTTTTTTTTAAACTCAGTTAAAGCTCACTGAAATGAGTATTGGTGGGTCCAAAGGACCTCCTTTCAAGCATTTTCTTCATTACATACAGCAATATATACATTGTGAGTCGTCTATTAGTTATATTTTCATTTCTCCTTTGTTATTCTCCCTCCAACAAAGTGGCCCTGAAATGTCCCATTGTAAAGTATAAGGTTTTTTCTTCTGGCAGATGTTGAGAGATAGTGATCAAGTCAATTATCTAGGTAGAGAACATGTGCCATCATGTATGTGGCATATCACATGGAAACTCTTGAGATAGGATTGAACAGGATACCGATATGAGACACTGTTTTCGATACTCCGCCCAGCTACTGATAACTGTTGGCCTGTCCAAATTTTTCCCCAAGTGTCTATTCAACCCATTTACATCTCCAAATATCTTCAGGTAAAAAAAATCATTAATTCATCATATGTTTATGAGGTACTGTTTCCTGGTATTTGCCTAAAACCTGTGTCTTACTTGGGGTTTCTGTTGCTGAGATGAAATACCATAGCCAAAAGGCAACTTGGGAAGGAAAGGGTTTATTTCACTCATAGATCCACATAAAAGTTCACCACTGAAAGTCAGGACAGGAGCTCAAACAGGGCAGGAACTTGGAGGCAGGAGCTGAGCAGAGGCCATGGATGGGGGCTGCTTACTGGTTTGTTCTCCATGACTTACCCAGTCTGCTTTCTTATAGAACCCAGGAGCATCATCCCAGGCACCACCCACAATGGGCGGTCATTTTCTTAATTCCTAGTTAAAATGCTTATAGACATGCCCACAGTCTGATCTTATGGTGGTAATTTCTCAGGTAAGGTTTCTTCCCCTCAGATGACTCTTGCTTGTGTCAAGTTGACATGATGCTAGCCAGTACAACCGGCCTATTCAGTTCATCTTCATGTTTTTCTGTCTTCAGAATAGCCACTGATTTGGCTATTTTAAAAATTCTCCCCCACTGCTGTTAAATCAACTTCTTTTGAAAATAAACCATGGAAGAAATAAAAACCCTTCTGAGGACTGGTGCTCAGAAGTCTTGAGAAATCAGAGCAGTGCTGGCCCAACCCTCAGGGGCGCATGAATGAGAAGGAATGCTGTGGTTCATAATGCCTCCAAGAGTGCCTTCCCTGGATGAAGCTCTTAGTAGATGCTTGCTGAATACACCAAGAGACTAACTTAGACCAGAACATTTATTTTTAAAGCCCGCTGCTGATAGTGATCCTCAAACAACTATAGTATTGCCAGCATTTTCCAGCTAACACACACAAACATGCCTCTCACTTCATTTGGAAGATCGTGTCATGTCTAGCAACAGTACTGTGGGTTAATATCCGGAACCACTTCGTTGGTTACAAGGCACAGAAGATAATATAGTTAGCACAGTCTGAGTGCTTGTTTTTGAGAGAGAGAGAGAGAGAGAGAGAGACAGACAGACAGACAGACATTTTCATTCCATTTGTTCTGTTTATTTGTTCCTCAGAACAGTATTCCCGTCTTGGCTCCTAAGCAGAAACTTTGCTTGTTAGGCTTATTTCCCAGTTGATTCCATCCTCTGACTTCCCGTTGTCACATTTTTTATTCCAGCCAATCAACTGTATCTGTGGTTTTAAAGCACGTGCCAATGGAGCAGATATCAGGCAGAAAATGCATATATACACCCCAAAGCCCTGTGTTAAAATCAGTAAGATTGTGCAAGGCAGGAACCCCAGAAAGCACTCAAACAGAAGCAAATCGTCAGAAATGAGTTCATTCCATGAAGCGTCAGAGCCTCCGTAAGCCACTCCTTATCTCTTTCGGCCAGTGGGCAGCTTCTAATTGGTCAGAGCCCAAGGAAAGGGAAACAAATGCAAGGAAACCTTGCCGCCTGGCTTTAGACATCAGCAAGATAGCCAGCCCTATCGTACATCAACGGACAGCCTTCCAGTTGACAACAGGAAAAGCGTGACTCAGCTCATACAAAGGGGAAGTCCTGGGCTGGCGCACACAGTGGCGTTGTCCTTTTATTGCTTTGCTCAGACATCTTATGTGAAGATATGCAGGACCGAGGACTCAGCATTCTCCGCTGGGACAGTGCACTCAGCATCTAAGGTAGGAGCAGAGCAGAGGAAACAGCAGGAGTGCTTTATGTAGCAATGGGAACAGGAAATACACAGCAGTGAGACAGAAGTAATAATAACAATAGCAAAACAAACAAAACAAAACAAAACCCAAAACACCCTCCTTTGAACGACAGAGTCTGGAGAAAAATTAAAAAAATAACTAATTTGTGAAACAGTTATTTTTTTCCTCCTATATTTATGCATTTAGAATTCCCTCCATAGAAGAGACAGTGGTATCAACCTGCTTATTGATACGGGTCATTCCCTGGTATGTCACTAAACACCATCTACATGCGATCCACACATCATTGTCATCGGAGTTTTGGAAGGATTTTTATTTGAGACTTATAAAGCTGAAGACAATGTTTTTCTCTCTGGGACCCAAGTACTTCCATCTTACATAAAATAGCACCACCGCCAAGTAGGCAAACCTCCACTGTGGAGTTCGCAGTAGAAACACAGGATGTGTCCCGTGTGTGTGTGTGTGTGTGTGTGTGTGTCCTGTGTGTGCGTGCAACTGCCTGATGCCACTTTCCTCTGCATGATGGCCCGAGGCATCTCATCACATCACCTCTTCCAGTTTCTCATTTATGTGAGTCTGCATTCTCTTCTATGTCCATGGGTAATGAGACCATGGTGAAGGTGGTGATTAGCTCCCCGGTTAGACACTGAGTTATTAACAGCAACCAGGAGATTTCTGAAACTCTTCAGATTGGAACTTTATAGGAAAGACATTTACAACAATGGGATCGTCAGGCATGAACGCATGACTTCAAAGTTTCTGTCTTTTGAAAACAATGCTAATTTTTGACTAAATTGTCTAGACTCTAGAGTGTGACAAACCTATTTTACTGTTATTATCTTGTAACTCGTGGTTATTCTGTTATAGCCTGTGATCTAACAATGTCTCAGGAGTTTATTAAGGATAGCGCTCTGCCCCTCCCCCCCTTTTTACTATCTTTATCATTGTATCCTTGACACACAGTGATGAAATGTGTCAATCATTCAACTGACACTTTTGTTTCTATCATGCTTAGATCATTGGAATTTACTAGAGAGAAGAACATTTAGGAAATAGGATGAGCCAGGCAAGTTTTTGTTTTGTTTTGTTGTTGTTGCTTTAATTTGATTTTTGGCAAGGTCTCACTTTGCTGGCCTAGAATTCTCTACAGGGCTGGCTTCCCACCTCATAAAGATCTGCCTACCTCTGCCTCTGCCTCTGCCTCTAGCTCTCCAGTGTTAGCATTAAAGGGATGAGCCACCATGTCTCACAATGATTGATTTTTGACTTAATTCTACCCACAGGATTTCTGGAGCCTTCCTTAATCTCAGATTCGAGGGAAGTTCCCTATCTCTTACCTGCCCCCTACTCTTCAGGGTGGCAGAGCTTCTCCTTTCTCTGTTCCTGTTCCCGCTCTCTCACATCATAGAACAGTACCAAAATGACCACAGCCTTACTCACCAATGCTATTGTGTGAGTCAAATGTAAATGCTTCTGCACATTGGCAAATTTAGCATATCTTCATAGCCTCAAGGTAGCAAGAGCTGCAGATCTTCTATAAAGTTGGAAGGAGAAGGTGATACATGCCCTTCTCAAACATCCATTCGGCCGGCCTCTTTGCTTCCTGCAAGTATGGTCAGACCTCACCTTGTGAGCAGTACCTTTAACCATTATCCTTGGGCTGTGAACTGCCCACACTACATAACAGGAACTTCTGACTTCATTATATCTTTCCCCCTTTCCTATGGTACATGTCTTCTAATCAACTAGCCTATCTTCTTGTGTTGATTTTCTGTTCATTCTTCTTACTTGGATACACACAAACCTAAATGCAATCTCATAGGACCCAACAGAGAATTATTACCAAATATAACCCATTTTCATACTCATTTAGCATGAGTGGTAACAAATGACATATCAAGACCCAGTTCAATTAGATTCAAATCATTAAGATTTTTAAAATGCCTACTTGGATGCAGGACTATGATGTGTGAGGAGAGGCATGGATGGGCAAGCTGTAACCTCTGGAAAGAGTTTCATCTATTGGGAGACAGATGTAGAAAAAGTGTCCTATAGCATAGTTTTATGGATACTAAGCTAGTAATATAAACTCAGAACAGATAATGGGAAGCTCCATCAAACAGAATGGTTCTCTGTTCTAGGAATCATGAGGAAAGTGGACTGTAGGAGTGTGCTGATGATAGCAGAAGCACTTAGACACCTCAGTTACATGATAAGCTTTCCCTCTCTTACCAGAATATTTTTCTCTTTAGGACTATCTCTGCATCCAGTGTTCCAAGCTGAGCCATTATACAGAGTATAAATTGGTAACCTGGAGCTTGCCTGTTGAGTCTCTTGAGTTTTTTTTTTTTTCCTTCCCCTTTCTCTACCAGTTACTGCAGGCTTGGGTTTCATGAGTCTGTGTCTGCTCAGTGATTTCAGAATCAGCCTGGTTTCCTTCTAATAGCTTCTCACAGATCTCATTTTTCTTCATGTCTTTTCTAGCTGTCTGTTGTGTACTTTCCTGGTATTGCCTCACTCCCAACTTCCTGTACCTTGACTTATCTTTTTTGGACGAAAAGAAGTAGGCAGATGAGTCACCGGTACAATCATTATGACTTTCTTTGGTGCTCATAATAATTACAGATTCCTGGCCTCAACTTCTACTTTGGATGACTCATATATTTTTAGGTAGTGGGTTAGAGGCTCTTTTTTTCTCTGTTCTGGCTGGCTCTGAATGTTCTCCAAGGTCTGATGAGTGTTTAGATGTTATACTGCTAAGAGAAATGATGGGCAGGATGTAGCCAGGCAAAATAGGAAGAGAGCACAAAGACAAAGAAGTTATGCTAGTGAGTAATTCCTTCCTAGGGGGAAGTTGTTTGATGGCATACTATTTTTACTGCTTGGCAAAAGACTGTTGACTGGATCATTACTTTAAACCTTTAAAAGCCTCCAAAGGCTCCAGTGGGTGAAGGTTTTAATCATGACTCAAGCATCTATCCAATTGTATTCACTGTGGTTTGAGAAAGTCAGAAACAAATTAGTTATATCTCCCATGAAGCCTCTAAGGATTTTTAAGATAGAGGCAGGGAGGCACAAAAGGAGATTATTCAACTTTCTAACTACAATAATTTAGTAAGACCCTTACTTACATCACATTTGTCCTTTCTATGTCTTTGGACATGGGGCTTCATGTACAGTATTAGATGAAATCAGTAAGCTGTGGACTAGAGAAAGAATGCAAGGGTTGACTGGTTTCATAATGGTACAGAATGAAGACTGACTGTCCTGTTTGCTGTTCTACTGCTGTGATAAACACCATGATCAATAGCTACTTGGTGGGGAAGGGTTTATCTCACATTAAAGTTTACTATCCATTATGAAGAGAAGTCAGGTCAGGCATGCAATGCAGAAACTGAGACCATGCTTACTGTTTACTCTTCAGACTCCATAAATATACCTTGAAGACCATCTACTTATGGGTGATACCTCCCACAGTGGGCTGGGCCCTCCCATGTCAGTCATTAACCAAGAATGAAGATATTGTCTTGATTGGGGTTCCCTCTTCTCAGATGTCTCCAGCTTGCATCCAGTTGACAAAAATTAACCAGCACACTGGCAATCCAGTTTTTATGTCTGTAGGGGAAAGCATTAAGACCATCAATATCTGCCAAGGAGAAACATTGAAGGGCAAATTAAGCACTTAGCATTTTAAGAATTGCTTCTGGTCAGAAAATAATTACAGATATGCAATAAAGACAAATCCAGATAAAAAGACCTATAAATGGGTCACAATGTTGGATAAATATACATAGGATAAAAAGAGTATAGAGAGTTATTAAGTGAAGTAAATGTTTTTTTTTTAAAAGTAAAGTCTTTAAAGAGACAGAGTACAGACAGTCATAGATTGAAAGAAGTTAAAAAAAAATAAGCCACATAAAGATGGAGTATACACAGAGAGTCTGGATTATGTATATTATTGTGTGTTCTTTGAATTTTTGACTGTGAATGAGCTAAGTACAAAGAGAAATTTTATTGTATGGACTGCTAAACTAAACCAACATATATATCTTAAAGGTATCTTGATTTCAAAATATGGATCAAAGGATACGTTGTTTTGGAAAAGAGGTTGTTCTTTTGTTTCCACAGAGGATGAGAACCTGTGGAATCATTCCAGGCTAATATGGTTTAATGGACCAAGACTCCGTGAAAGGTTGCCTTAAACATGGCTCAAAAAATTACTTCACCCAACTGCTGACTTAGATGAACCTAGCAAACAGGATGCACCATGAAAGACCTGATTAACAGCGCCCTCAATCAGCAAGTAGTAGTCTAGAGAACTATGCCCAAATTCCCAAATATTGTTTATAAATGTTTCCTTACATTTAAAGGGGGTAAGCTATAGAGATTTGCATTGGTATGGATCTTGCTTTATTGATACAAATTTAAGGTCAATTTTGTGTGTGTGTGTGTGTGTGTGTATATATATATATATATATATATATATATATATATATATATATATCTGCTCTTAATTAAGGTATTCTGTTTGTATAGCTCATTTAAAATACAATGTATAAAATTAAGAAATAAAGACTAATAGAGAGTCATTTATAATAGCCAAGCTTGTAGTCATGTTAGTTAGATTTTCTAGATATACAGAGATATATTCCAGTTAGATAGGAGTTCTACAAATCTTTCAGAAACCTTTAAACTATGGCATTGAAAATGTTTTAATAACTTAGACTTTTCATGACAATGAGACATATCAGCTCCTGGCAGCACCAATTACTTCAAGAGGAAGATGGACATTGAAGAGGCTCCTTATGGAGTTGCTTAGTTAAGAAATTGAACTTGCCTGGACTGCTTGATGAACTGGACATGCAGGACCCACAGATAAATTACTGTTGAACTTGCATAAAGGTGAGATGATCCTTCAGGGTTCCTGTTTTATGAAAGTATCTGCAAGACATTTTGCAGGACACACAAAAAAGTAACTGACGAACTTCTAATGTAGGCGTAACTGTCTTTGAAATTTCCTGTTTCGTGGACAAGTCTGCTGGATACTATGGGCCTATAGGCTGAAGATGGATGGTCCAACATTACAGTAGAACTTTGGGTGACTGTCCAGGCAGCAAGATGTCTCTGTCATTTCCTGAGTTTTGGAAGTTGCTCACAATGCACTTCCTGTTTACTTAAGTAATATTATATCCTTCTGGAGTCTTTGATGGAGTTAAAGAATAGGTAGATAGTTATAATTATTGTTTTCATTAGTATTGAAAAAAGATAAAGTAGATATAAATATTCTAACTGTAATTATTGCTTGATACCTGTTTTGTTGTATGTAATTTTTCTATGTTAAAGTTAAAACCTTTTTATTTGAACAGAGAAGAGCAGGTGATGTGGGAGTTCCTTTTGTATGCTGTGATTACCACTAATTAATAAAGAAACTGCTTTGAGCCTATGGCAAAGCGAGGCAGAACAGAAGTAGGTGGGGAAAAATAAACTGAATGCTTGGAGGAAGAAGTCAGAGTCAGAAAGAAGCCATGTAGCCCCTCTGGAGCTGGATGGAACTTTACCTAGTAAGCCACAGATTACTAGAAATGGGTTAAATTAAGGTGTAGTAGTTAGCCAATAAGAATCTAGAACTAATGGGCCAAGCAGTGAGTTAGGTAATATGGTTTCTGTGACTATTTTGGGTCTGAGCTGCTGGACAGTCAGGAAACAAATTAATGGCCTCCTTGTAACATTCTCTTCTATCAGATTCAGTGTATCTGTTTTTTTTTTTTGTTGAGATCTTTGATTTACGTGGACGTTTTGTGCAGGGTGACAGATATGGATTTATTTGCATTCTTCTACAAAACATCTAGTTAGACCAGCACCATTTTTTCAAGATGCTTTCCTTTTTCTATTGTATAATTTTAGCTGCTGTGTCAAAAATCAAGGGTCCACAGGTGTGTGGATTTACTTCTGTGTCTTAGATTAAATTCCATCGATCAGTCCATCTATTTTTATGCCAATACCATGCAGGTTTTTTTTATTACTATTGCTCTGTAGTACAGATTGAAATTGGGAATAGTGATACTTGCAGTTCTTTTATTATGCAAGATTGTTTTAGTAATCCTGGATTTTTTGTTTTTCCATATAAAGTTGATTATTGTCCTCTCAAGATCTGTGAAGAATTTTGATGGATTTTGATGGGGATTACATTGAATCTGTATATTGCTATTGGTATGATGGCCATTTTTACTATGCTAACTGTCAATTCATGAGACAATTTTTCCGTCTTCTGGGTATCTTCTCCAATTTCTTTCTTCAAAGACTTGAAGTTTTTGTTATACAGGTCTTTCACTTGCTTGGTTAGAGTTACACTGAGATATTTTATATTGTTTGTGGCTGTTGTTCACACTTGTTCTTAAGCGTTAAGTGGGATGAAGAGAATTCAATGAACATTTTCTCAAATTTCTCCCTTTTTAAATTATCCTTTTCCTGCTTTGAGAACTCCATACATGCATACAATATATTTGAATACAATCTGCTCTCATTCTCTTCTCTCAATCTCCCATATTCCCACCCTGCATTTTTTCTTCTAACTTAATGTGTACTTTCAAAAACTAGTTTTTAATTTTAAAGAATCTCATATGTTAATACCGTGTTGACACCATTTTCTCCCCTTCTTTCTTCTCCTCAGACTTTTCCCATGTGCCTTCCATGCCTTCTCAAGTTTATGGTCTCTCATATTTTAATTATTATTGTTTCACATATATTATAAAGACAATCTGATGAGTCTATTTAGTGTTGCTCATATGAGTATGTGTTTAGGGATGAGCACTTGGGACTGGATAAACTACCAGGTCTTATCCCTAGGAAAAAAAATACATCTTTTCCAAGCTGCCATTAATTGCCAAAAAATTTTCAATTAGCAGAGGGGGCTTGTGAGATTTTCCCCATCAACCATTGCAATCAGCTACAACTGGTCAAAATGCAGAGAACAAGTGAGCATGGCATGCTCACCATGATTGATATATTTACAACATAAGTCCTACACCTAAGACTTCATGAATATTGAGGAAGAGGGAGCAGGAAGATATTGTGAACAGAGGACCAGGACATTCACTGAAAGATAGTGTCTTCTGCCTATGACAACGAAAGCACACCTGTGACATCTCAGCTTGAGCTCCTTCATTGAAAACCTAAGACTACTTGGTGCTACCTCTGTGAGTCGGTGGATGTTATCACCTTGAATGCAAGTGACTTTCCCAAGTATAATCTGTGGATTCTGATTCTACCTACTCCCCAAACCTCAGAGGCCATTATTTATATCAATACTCGGTTTACTTTCTCTTAATGATGTTTATGAGTGTATGAAATCATATTCTATTTTGGTCATTGCTCTCAGCAATGTGTTCATGGCTCTTAGAGTTCCTGGCTTTCTTGGAAACCCAGAAAATAGCACTTGGCTTACACTAGGTACTCCATAAATACCTCAGTAAATGAGAAGATTTCATGATGTGAAAAAAAAACCTCACTGGACAAATTCATTTGGAGAATATTGAATTAATCAACCATTAACAGTTTTATCTGCTGCAGGGCTTAAGGAACATTTTAATGTGCAATATATTATGAATGTCTGGATGGAGAGAAAATATTTTGTGTTCTACCAACTTCTTGATCCTTTAACTGTCTTCTCTGGCAGTATTTACACATTCCAATAGAAAGTCAAAGTAGAGGAAATATAACAAGACACGGTTCATCATCAACACGACACACTGGTCTGCTCTAGGAGGTTCCTTGGTGGATTCCCTAGAGGACCAGTTCAGGAAGAACTGACCTTGGGCTGAGAAGATAGGGGAGAGGGGAGGCTGGGGGCGCGAGAAGAATGGTGAGGATGAAGGTCTTACAAAGGTGGCTTTGCCTTTCCTTCTCTTGAGAGAGCTAAAAAAATGCCAGAGTGGGACAAATAACAACTTAGAATAAAGAACTTTAGGTCGTGTACCAAAAATGTGTATTTTCCCCCCAAGTAAATGCATGCATACTGGAAGGTGTGCAGTCACATGGGGAGGCATATGAACAAGATGTCTTCATACAAACGAAGGACACTCGTGTACCTAGCAATCAGAGCAAAAGAAAACAACAGTCCACAGCATTACCTCAAATCCACAAACTGACTTTTAGCTTTATCCATGGCATTGCTTTTTTCTTTGTATTTTATACTTCTAATTAAAAAAACTATATGTTTTTAAAATTTGTTCCCTTTGAACTTAATTTATTAATTTAATATTACTGTGTATTTTGGGGATTAAAAACGAGCACCGACTTTCTGTTTTACTTTTGTAACACACTCACTCAAAACTAAACATTTGTTAGTTCCATTTTCCATTTCTTTTTTTTGAGGCAGGGTCTTGCTATGTAGCTTAGGCTGAGCTCTGGATCCTGCTATCCTCTTGCTTCAACTACCCAAATCCTGGGATTATCAGCACATGCAAGCAAGTTCGGCTTCATTTTTAGGTATTTTCTGATCTTCATGCCACATGGTTTATTTGTTTAGCAAGGTTCTTACAGTGCAGCCCAGGCTGACCTCAGGCTAGTGCTCTTCTTCCTCAGCCTTCTAAGTACCAGGATTATAGGTGAGCACT